TTATGGATGCTTTTCGTTTTTGAATTTCATGAAAATAGTATCAAAACTTATGTAATCGTTTGTCAAGATCATTGATGCTCTTTCCGTTATATTTTCTTTTTGAAGAGTATTTGATGGATTTAAGTGCTTTTGGAATTCTGAAATTGTTGAGAAGAATAAAAGAACAAATTAATTTTATACCTTCTTTGTTTTTCATATTAATAGTCTACTTTTTCTTTTACAAATTTCTTAAGAAATCATAAATAAAATAATAGTTTTACTGATTTACACCTAATTATTATTTTTAACTTTATAAATTTTATTTACACTTTCAAAAAGAAATATTGTTATAATAAAATAGAGAACTTGTAATTAATTATATCTTTGTAAATTAACAAATAATTTTATCCAACTATTTTTAGTAATATAAATAATTAATTTCGAGATGAAAAAATAATATCAAAATGTTAGAAATAGAATAAATCAGGTAAAAAATTTTGAATAGCATATTTTCCATGAATAAAATTATTAAAGTATGGAAGTAGAAAATTTGGAACAATAATTGGAAAAGGAAAACCAAAGAAAAAGAAGTAAAAAAAGTAAGAAAGAGAAAAAAATCGTTGAAAAGAAGATAAAGACAAAGGAATTTGGGCCATTTTCTGAAATGGGACTCAACTTTCCACTTGGCACAATATTATTCTCCATGAATAAAATTATTAAAGTATGGAAGTAGAAAATTTGGAACAATAATTGGAAAAGGAAAACCAAAGAAAAAGAAGTAAAAAAAGTAAGAAAGAGAAAAAAATCGTTGAAAAGAAGATAAAGACAAAGGAATTTGGGCCATTTTCTGAAATGGGACCCAACTTTCCACTTGGCACAATATTATTTTCCATGAATAAAATTTTTAAAGTAAAAAATTTGGAATAATATTTGGAAAAGAAAAACCAAAGAAAAAGAGGTAAAAAAAGTAATAAAGAGAAAAAAATCGTTGAAAAGAAGAGAAAGACAAAGGAATTTGGGCCATTTTCTGAAATGGGACCCAACTTTCCACTTGGCACAATATTAGTAGAGGCTTATTGTCGATCACCTCATACTTGTGCCTCGTACAAAATAAAAATTTTCAGTTACCATAATATATTTAGAGAAGTCTAAAAGTTTGAAAAACTTGTTTGGTTTTCCAATGAGACTAGACTTCTTACTACTTAAGTAACTCGTCGAGGCACTCCAATAGTTCATATATAGAAATCAAATCAAATAACTCATCATTTTGATCAAATGGCAAATGAAGCTGCCTTTGATTTGTTTTGTGATGATTTTTACTTCTCATTACTTTTTGACGAAATCCAAAATGTCGAAAACTTTTCAATATCAGATGACAAATATGCTGAACAACTCCAGGATCAAGAAATAATAATGAGTTCAACAATTTTCAATCAAAACTCGACCAATTCCCCTGCAGAGGAGAGTATTGTAGATCAACCTGAAATCGGCGAATCATCGTTAAGTTTCTGCGAGATTTGTGCAGAGAGAAAAGAAATTGATGAAATGTTCACAATTGAATCTTGCAGCCACGTTTTTTGTACTGATTGTATTAACAAGCACGTCTCAATAAAAATCCAGGACAAAATTCACGTTGTGACATGTCCTGGTGTAGCTTGCAGGGGAATTCTCGATTTCGGAACGTGCATTTCGATTATACCTAAAGATGTACGTAATAGTTGGGACGATTTGTTGTGTGAATCGCTTATTCTTGCCTCGGAGAAATTCTACTGTCCATATAAAGATTGTTCGGCAATGCTAGTGAACGATTCGGACGATATAGTTAGGGAATCGGAGTGTCCTGTTTGCCGGAGATTGTTCTGCGCACAATGTTATGTGCCGTGGCATTGTGGAGTTCAATGCGAAGAGTTTCGGGAAATGAATGTGGATGAAAGAAGCAGAGAAGATTTAATGGTGAAGGAATTAGCAAAGGCGAAACAGTGGACTAGATGTCCTTATTGCAGATTTTTCGTCGAGAAAACTGAGGGATGCTTGCATATGACTTGCAGGTGTGGATCACAGTTTTGTTATAAATGTGGAATAAATTGGATAAATAATCATGCTTGTTAATGCAGTACTTGAGGGAATTATCTGTTGGATATGATGTTTATATGGTAGTTTTTTTTTTTTTTATCAAACAAAGGGAAAAGTGTATTGTTTTCTAGCTTTCTAATGTCTAGTTTATTTATGTAATCTTCTTTAATCGTGGAGTTATTCTAGGGACTTCACCTCAACTTGTACTATATTGTATTGTTAATTTAAATATAATATTTGTTTTGATTGTTATTCAAATTTTATTGTATGTTTAAATTTATAGGTAACGACGAAACAACTCATTTTGTGTGATCACATCGTTAGCTTAATATTTTATTCTCTTTTTGTCTTTACTTATTATTTAACTACTTCTATTTTATCCTACATTTTCATAGTGATTCTACACCACACTCTACTTTTTCAAATCATGGATGTGTGACATTGTAACAACAGAGAATGTTACCAACCGAGCAAAGGGTGTCAATGGATTTGAGGTACCTAAAAATTATCAGACTATTGCCAGGAATTTAGAGGCTTGGGTTGAATCTACTTGCTGATGGATTTGAGGTACTTTCTTGGCACATTCTCAGTATCAAGTTATGAACATCGTGTTTGCATCTTACAAGAGAGGCTCAGATCATGTTACTCAGACTTAATTTTACCCAATGGAACATACGTTTTAATAAAATCATAACAAGATACAGTTTTAAGAAAACATGAACGGCGCACAAACATGGAGTAACATTTCAGATGCTGCTGTTGTTCCGTAAGTCGCTAATTATAATAAGATCGCGCTTATGACACAACATGTTAATGCATCAAACTGTCAAAATATTCCGCAGAATGAAAGAAGTTCCAGTGGCTTTTGTTGTTAGATCAAATGGCTCCACAATTACTGAAGATGAAGTCAGAGAATTCATAACAAAGCAGGCTGGTTTTATTCATTTATGTTTATTTGCCAAATTGAGATTAGTAGCTTAGTTGGTCGATTATCTAATTTTTTATTTTATTGGCGGGGGTTTGTTCCTCAGTCCTCACCTTGTAATTCCCTCTCTAGTTTCCCTTCTCCTGCTCCCCGCCTCCCCGTGTAATAAAAATAAATATATTGTGGACCTTCCCTTGATATAATTACTATGTAGTTTTACCTAATAGAACATTTATATCATAAAATGGGTTTCTAATTTATTGATTTTTCAGGTGATATTTTATAAGAGGATAAAGAGGGTATTTTTAGCGGATGATGTTCCTAAATCTCCATCTGGCAAAATCCTTAGAAAGGACTTGAGAACTAAATTAGCTGCTGGATTTCCAAATTAAATATCCCTTCCGTTTAAAAAAGAATGACCTAGTTTGATTTGAAACGGAGTTTAAGAAAAGTAAAGAAGACTTTTTTATCTTATGGTTCTAAATTAAAGTTATGTCAAATATACCAAAATGTCCTTTAATCTTGTGGCATTAAACATATCACGTGGAAAGTTGAAGTTAAATATTGCCAAAAAAAGAAAAGGGTCATTCTTTTTTAAACAGAATAAAAAGAAAACTAAGTCATTCTTTTTGGAACGGAGGAAGTACTACTTTCTGTTAATGGAGACAATAACTATAACCATTTTTATTTTATTTTTAAAGTTACATAGTATGTTCTTTGACTTGTATTTGTACGGTTGACCACCTACCTCTATACGGTTAAAATTAATTAACCAATTCAGCAAAAGCAGGAAAATGTATGTAAATTTGAATGTAAGGGACTTCAATTATTTTTAAATGTCTTTTACTATTGGTGTGATATATTGCATTTACTAGAGTAACATAAAGTTTTTTGCACAGTAAATCAATCCAGTGAATTTATTAAAACATTATAACTTTTCTTTCTAACTTAACTTTTTAATGTGCAACAATCTCCCTGTGGTGTTTCAGAAAATAAAAACTAATAAAAGTTAATGATGTTTGGTTCTAAATGTGAAATTTGTCGCGGAAATAAAACAAAAATATCCTCAAAAAAATCACATTTTCCCCTAAACTTTTAAAAGTTATTTTCTAGATCCATTGCGATATTTTTGTTGCATTATTATATGTTATAAGTTTCCATTTCGTACTATATTATTACATTCCAATTGCTTTTTTTCTTCTTAAAATACGACAATGATATGGCAACAGCGCCTGGTTAATTATCTAAAATAAGTATTAATTTGGACTCGTTATTTTTAATAATCATGGCAATTAAAATGGACGAAGAAAGTATCAAATCATGATGATATGTTTTACTCTAACTTTTAAGGTTTCATCGAGTTCGAGAGGAATAATATTTAGAGAAGCGCGAAAGTTTGAAAAACTTGTTTGGTTTTTAAATGAGACTAGACTTTTTAAGTAATTAGTCCTCCTCCCAAGAAAAACTTGTTTGGTTTTTCAAATAACTCATCATTTTGATCCAATGGAAAAGGAGTCGACCTTCTATTTTTCTTTCAACGATTTTTACTTCTCATTACTATTTGACGAAATTCAAAATGTAGAAAACTTTGACAAAATCCAAAATGTCGAAAACTTTTCAATATCAAATTACAAGTATGCTGAAACTCCATGATCAATGACTTCAGCAACTTTCAATCAAAACTCAACCAATTTCCCTGCAGAAGATTGGAGAGTACTGTAGTCTGTAGATCAACATGAAATCGGCGATCTTAAAAATGTTATGAGTTTTAATTTAAGTAATTACCTGTAATATTCAACATAATTAGACTGGAGTAGTGTTTGATATGATTTACACGGTAGTTTTTAATTAAAAAGGGGAAAAGTGTCTATCTATTTTCTGGCTTTTTAATTGTCACACCCCTATTTCTATTTTTCAAGTAAAGTTCTGAAAAAGAAATTACAATTAAAGTGACTATTTTGAAAATTAATTATTCTATTTCAGAGTTATTCGGGTATAAAATTTTGTTGACCGAGGAGAATGCATCATGCATCCCTTGAGTCTCGTGTTTCCAGCACAGTTATTTTATTGACCTATATCTAGCTTGAACTAAATTTTGGATATCTTATATTTGTGAGCTTTACAAAATCGCTTATTATCCAACTTCCTTGATTTATTATAAACTAGTGAACTTAGCTGCGCTTCGCGCGATTAGAAATAGTTTGCTAGATTCGTCAAATAATTAATTTTTAGAATAATTGAGTGTTAAAAATATTTTAAAGATTCTTTGTAATGTTTAATTCAAATATATCAAATTTCATTCTTAATTTAATTTATTATTAGTACTGATGTTTTATATATTTTGCGATTTTAAATCGCTTAAGAATCTTAGGTCTTCTGGAAAAAAAACTACATCGCTAAAATTTATAGACAATAAATTAATATGATTATTAAATAGAATATGATCAATTCTTTAATTAAAGAATAAGATAAAATAGAGAAAAAAATGAGAAAAAAGATTAATAGCAATGGAGGCCTTAGAGTCTATGGTGTCACATCACCTTTTTTATATTTGACTTTATATTATATATAGATATGAATATAGATTTACCTAAAATTGACTTATTTTATTAATGTGTGGTGTATTGGTAGCAACGCTTTTCAACATTTGATTTTCTTTAAGTTAAAAATCTAAAACCTTGATTTTCTTTATGTTAAAAATCTAAATCACTCTTATGGTGTAAATTGTTATTCTTTTCTCTTTTACATCAGATTTAAAAATAAAAATTGCACCACTCTCACTTTTCACACCATCAAAACAAATAACTAGACACAACTTCAAATATATCAATCTAACAAAAGAAACAAGAAGTTTTAGTTATTCCTCTAAAAAAAAATAGAAGGTGTATACCTATCAAAACAAAACATTTAAATTAAATCCAAGGCAAACAAATTTGTACCAAATATTATTTTTACAAATAAGATTAAATATTACTTTACACTAACTAATATAGTTACTTTATGTTGGAAAACTTGTATCCTTTAATCTCCACTCAACAAACTTATTAATAGTACTAGATACAGGACCCCGTGCCAGCACGGGGCCCAATATATATTATCATATTATGGAATTTGAGAAGTTATTAAAAATTTTATATGATTTTAAAAATATTTTTAATTTTTAGCTATTGTGATTTGCAGTACTTTTTTTAACATAATTTTGAAAATAATATTTATTACT